GCGTACGAACGCAAGGAAATGATCTCCAAAGAACAAACTGTTCGCGACCTCGACGAGAATGCGGATGCTGGTGGTGCTGAGCTTGTCACTATGAGCTATGCTCTCAGCATGATCCCCGAGTTCTACCCCGTCATCGACTCAATCGATAGCTTGATGAGTCCCAACGGCGTTATCGGTGTCGTCGACTTTTACGTACAGAACCAGGTCGACTTCATGGGAAGAAACTACATGGGTGGTGCTATTGATCGTCACTGCATGTGGATCTCACGTGTGTTCTGGCGGACGTGGTTTGAAATTGACCGTGTCAACCTTGAGCCTGCACGACGTGTATGTCAAATCCCCATCAACCAAGTCCAGCTTCTAACAATTCGTAGGACTACCTGGAATATCGCTTTGGCACAGTCCTCAGTATAAACGCTCGCAACAATTTCTTCGGCACTGGTATCAAGCTCCCCTACTTCATCTGGCTCGGTTGCTCAAAAGACCATGGCGCGTCTACCCAGAAGCTCGCTGAGATTGATGCCGCTGCTACTGAATCACCTTACCTCACTGCTCTCGACCTCCAGACAGGAGCTACGCAGACTGACGTCGAAGTCCACTCAAAGGCCTACGAGTCGGCAGTAGTGAACCTACAGTCTAGCCTCCCACTCCCAGCAACATGGTACCAGAACCACCACTGGCGCATCCACTATGACTCCTCTCTGCCCAAACACGCCCGATTCAACGACTCATACATCTACGCATTCACCTGGGAAGACGACGTAGCAGATATGCGCCTCCTCAAGCCAACCTCCAACGACGTCGTCTTAGCAATCGGCTCAGCTGGTGACAACATCCTCGCCTTCTGTCTGGAAAACTGTCGCCGCGTCCACGCCGTCGACCTCAACCCATCGCAAAACCACCTCCTCGAGCTCAAAGTCGCCGCCTTCACCGCGCTCCCCTACCAAGACGTATGGAAGCTCTTCGGCGAAGGCAAGCACCCCGACTTCCACAACCTCTTAATCCAGAAGCTCAGCCCTCACCTCTCATCCGAAGCCTTCCAATTCTGGCTACACAACGGGCCCTCTGTATTCTCATCTTCCTCCTCAAAGGGTCTTTACTACTCCGGCGGCTCCGGCAACGCCCTCTCCATCGCAGGCTGGCTCTTCCACCTCCTAGGCATGACCTCGGACGTCCAAAAACTCTGCACAGCATCCACCCTGAACGAACAACGAGAAATCTGGCAACGCTCCATCAAGACCGTGCTGCACTCCAAGATCCTCACCTGGGCCATCCTCGGCAACGAGAAGTGGCTCTGGAAAGCGCTCGGCGTGCCCCCCGCCCAACGCGCCGTCATCGAAGCTGATTTCAAGAAAACCGACGACTTTGACGAGACAAAGACACCGTCGGTGCCCAAGTCGGATGCAGCAGCAGATTACATGGCGTTCCACGAAGAACCCTCTGACGACGCGCTCAAATCGAGTTCTGGAAACGCGATTTACGAATATGTACTCAATACCTTCGAGCCCGTAATCAACACCACCCTGCTCTCAACATCAAACCACTACTACCTCCTCACCCTCCTGGGCCACTACACACCAACATCCCACCCCACATACCTCTCCCCGAAATCGCACATCAAACTCAGTAAACCCAATGCCTTCAACGGCCTCCGCATTCACACAGATGAGATCTCAGAGGTCATTGCGAGGATGCGACCCGGTACACTGACGATCGTCGTGGTGATGGATAGCATGGATTGGTTCCCACCTTCCGGCCAACAAGCACTCAAACAGATCCGTGCGCTGAACCGCGCGTTAAAGGTAAAAGGACGGGTTATGCTCAGGTCTGCGGGCTTGGAACCGTGGTATATCAAGGTGTTTGGCGAGTGTGGGTTTGCGGTTAAGAGGGTTGCTGTGAGGGTGCCGGGGAGCTGTATTGATCGGTATGTTATAAACCCCTTGGATGTCGTGGAGATTTGTGTTTACTGACTGATGACGTAGGGTCAACATGTATGCTTCTACGTGGATTTGCACGAAAGAGGTGGGAATTGAGCGCGAGGATGTCAAGGTGGGGTTGAGGAAGACGAGTTTGGCGGAGTTGAAGCTTGAGGCTCCTGCTTTGCGTATGGAGTAGGTTGTTCTTCGTCTCTTTCTTTGGATTGCGTTGTCTTGTAGCATCGGTGGCTGCTTGTCGTTCTTTTCCTTGTCCCAAAGCTGTTTTCCACATCAGTAGTTGTTGCCAGATACCTAGAATCCTCTCTTTGCACATATCTTCACCTGTGCATGTGTACATAGTACATTGTCCTGATATTAAAGATATAAGCTTCATGGCTTTCCTGCTACGTGTACACATGATATAACATCCAACGCGTTATCGTGGCAGCACCCCCTCCCTAGAGCAACCTCGAGTTGCGAAGTATGAAGCTCGAAGTCTATTGCGGACCGGAAAAAGACGCCCATGCCCAAAAACAGCCGTTGATGGCAACCTTCCCAAAGTTCCAGACCGTTATCCGACGAAGTGAAAGCAGATGGTCAGTCGATCGATCGACCCGACTTAGTTGGCGTTCTGGTACCGAGTCTTTCCTACGGTGAAAGGGACGTAGCGGTACTTGATCATGTGTTGAATCTGTCGTCGCACTGGAATAATGTCAGCCTTGAACTCATACGCACATCCCAGCATCAACTTACTCGTCAAGCCAAAAAGAATCAACCAGTAAACGACCAACACGGGCCAGAAGACGGGCAAGTTGAAAATCTCAAACCAGCTGCAGAAGAAGCCAATAGCAATCGCCTTGGTAGTCGAGTACCAGAACTTGAACTCGGGCAGCCTGCGGACAAACGGCCTGAACTCCTGGTCCTCCTTGGTGGGCAAGCCGCTCGCATTGCCGTCCTCCATGCCCTCATCTTGCTCGAGCGCGGGGTCGAATTTGGGGGACAGGAAGGCGAGGAAGAGGTTCAGCAGGTAGATGCCGAGCGAGTATGCGACGATGTACCAGCCCTGGGCGAAGAAGATGCGCAGGCCGAAGAGCAGGAAGAGCGTCGCTGTGCCGCCCCATCGGTAGGGCGTGTAGGGCGTTGACTTGTCGAGGTACGTCTGGAACAGGCGCCCGTACTTGGTTGTTTGTGCTGTGACGGCGCTGAAAGGGGTATCGGGCTCGGGCGAGTCCATGGTTGCGTCGCGGCGGGGGTGGGAGGGTGTGTGGTGATGGCGGAGGGGTGGAGTGGGTGCGCCGCGTAGGAAGGCGTGGGTGGGTGAATGCGGAGGCGACGTCTTGTTGAGGGAATCGTGTCAAAAAGTTGAGATGCGTCGCAAGGCTGGGGCTTAGATCGCCGGCGCCCGCCCAGGACGCGCTAGGACCAAGGTAGCGAGTGCCGCTAGTCGCGTCGAAGTGGGATGTTGGTACGGGCATGTTTTGGCGGGCGCGCCTTTACCGAGGTGCCGATGCTACCCACTTGTTGGAGCTCTGAGCTCATCTGCTCTCTTTCGATGTAAACACATGTTGCCTGAGCTGGACTCGTAGTCAAAGCTCAATTCTACACACTCAACATGCAGGCATTACGATCAACACCGAGGGTCGCCTCTCAATTCCGGTCAACGGGTCTACCCAGACTTGCGAGGGGATATGCGACAGAGAGGTCATTCGAGCATTTGCTTGTATCGGTGGCCAGACCTGGTGTTGGTCTGAGTATGTTACCACCTTCTATTCAACTACTATCATGTACTCCTAGAGAGCTGTGTCTGGACTAACAACCCCCAGTCCAGATCAACCGCCCCAAAGCCCTTAACGCCCTCTCCACGCCCCTCATCCTCGAGATCAACCAAGCCCTCCGCGACTTCCAAGCCTCAAAATCCATCGGCGCCATCGTCCTCACTGGATCGGAAAAGGCATTCGCAGCCGGTGCCGACATCAAAGAGATGAAGGACCTCACCTTCAGCGACGCATACGGCAAGGACTTCATAGAGTCCTGGTCCGACCTCATCACATTCCTCAAGAAGCCGCTCATTACCGCCGTCAATGGATATGCTCTAGGTGGAGGCTGTGAGCTCGCCATGATGGGAGACATCATGTATGCGGGGCCCAAGGCCGTGTTCGGACAACCCGAGATCAAGCTAGGCGTAATACCCGGTGCAGGTGGCTCGCAGCGCCTGACCAAGGCAATCGGAAAATCAAGAGCCATGGAAGTTATCCTCACTGGCGACAACATCACCGCGCAACAAGCAAGCGACTGGGGCCTTGTCGCCAAGGTGTTCGAGACACCCGAGGAGTGTGTTAGCGGCGCTATCAAGACCGCGGAGAAGATTGCGGGGTACAGCCAGATCGCTGTCAAGGCAGCGAAGGAGGTTGTGAACAAGAGTCAGGAACTTGGTATTAGGGAGGGTGTGGAGTATGAGAGGAGAGTCTTCCATGGTCTGTTTGGAAGCCAGGATCAGAAGATCGGTATGGCTGCTTTTGCGGCGAAGGAGCAGGCTAAGTGGACGAACAAATAGATGTTCGTAGGATAGATGAAAGGAAACAGATCACGTCAACAAAAAAAAACCGAACAGGCCCGATGCCTACATTGTCATAAAAACCTACAAGATAGGTGACCTGGCGTTGATGTAGGCTCTAGACCTGTTCAGTTTTTTCCCTGTATGAGGTGAGTTGATTGAAATCGCCTTGAACACATTTGTTAGTGCATGCGGTTTCTACGAGGAGCTGTGTGACCCAGAATACCAAGCTTATTTTAGCACTCAAAAATGGGCTGTACTACGCGCTAATTCTTCGATACCATTCTGGCATGCGTACTAGAGTATCGCGACCCCATTTCCATCGCATTCGGCATGGAATGGCATCGCATCTCAATGAAGCTACGCGTGCCTCGGCAGGACCCGATAAGCTTATCGGCCGCACCTGACAACCCGCGCACGCACGCGCGTGAGATGACGCGAGTACATGTGGGGAAACTCTGGAACACTACTCCATCTGACATGCCGCTACTCTCCCAGACATCCTCCTCTCCACATGCCCAACTCTCACCATGGAAGCGACACCGCCATGGTTACGCGACGCCCTCCGCTTCGCTCTAACAGCGACAGCATCGACTGAAGCCCCCTGGTGGGCGCACGACTACGACGCCTTCAAAGCCGCTGGCGGAGGCGACCTTGTCGATCCGGATGATCCTGGCAAAGACCCGCGGTTCCGCAAACTGGTCGAGGCCATATTGTTCAGTCGGACGCTCTTGAACACGTACAACTTGGTCCTGCTGGGCGTGCTGCTGGTTTTCACGGTATGGCATTGGTCCGAGAAGATCGTGCTGCACCGGCGGAAGAGGCGCATAGTCAGTACAACGAAGGGAGATGATGAGACGGTGCATGAAGAAGAGGCAGAGGCCTGGAGTAGCTCGAGTAGTACTATCGAAGGGAATGCGACGCCCCCCGATACCACCGCCGCGAAGAAAATACACGATGCCGATGAAACGAGCCCTCTGCTTCCTTCGCAGCGTCCCCGACGCGTGACGAGACCAGTAGTATGGCGTCCTTACTACATGCTCAAGTCTACGCTGCAATACCAGCCTCGACCCATTCCTGTCGTCAACAAAACACTGCCCACCAACGCCGTCTCGTTGCTCGTCCTCGCTTGGATCGGCTTGAACATCTTCTACAACTTCTACCGCATGCCGCTCTCCTTCATGTACCTCTTCGTCTTCGCCGACCGATGCGGTATCATTTTCATCACGAACCTGCCCCTTCTATACCTCCTCGCTGCGAAGAACCAGCCGATAAAGTTGTTGACGGGATACTCGTATGAGAGTCTTAATATCTTCCATAGGAGAGTAGGAGAGCTCGTGTGTCTAGAAGCATTCCTGCATTTCCTCGGTATGGTGGCTGTGTGGTATGGCATGTTGAGGCATCTGGGTTTTACGCTGGCGAGATTCATATTCAACCGCGTTGTGCTGTTAGGTCTAGCCGCGCTGATTGCGTATGAGTTGATCTACTTCACGAGCTTGGGAAGCTTCCGAAAGCGGTGGTATGAGATCTTTCTGGGCCTACACATCGTACTTCAGGTCGCTGGATTGGTTTTCCTATGGTTTCATCATCACACCTCACGGCCATACGTTGGCGTGTCCCTCGCCATCTTCCTCATCGATCGACTAGTCTACCGTATGTGGCTGAAGTCCAGTACCCACCCCGCAACACTAGAAATCCTGGAAGATGACGAGACCCTGCTGCTTTCAGCAAACTGGGAAGTCGCCACGAAGAAATCCGCGATCCTAGCCAAGAATATGACACAAGGCTGGAAACCAAACGAACACATCTTCATCTCTGTCCCATCCCTCTCCCGCAAACATGGCATACAATCCCACCCTTTCACCATCTTCTCCGCCGCCCCAACAACGAATCGGCAAGATGGCGACGGAAAACACGCCTGGTTCTCCCTCCTCATCCGCGCCCAATCCGAACCAGGTTTCACACACAGCCTCCTCCGCCACGCCCGCGCCTCTCCAACCCCAACAACACAACTCCGCATCCGCCTCGACGGCCCCTACGGCTCATCCCACGCCCTCGACCTTTTAGAATCCTCCTCAACAGCCATACTCATCGCAGGCGGATCCGGCATAGCAGTCGCCTACCCCCTCCTCTACGCCCTCTTACAGCCTTCCCCCACCGACCCCGAATCCACTTTCAGATCCCAGAGAAAAGTAAAATTACTCTGGATAACGCATTCACTCGACCACCGCCTCTGGATCCCAGAGGATAAACTAAAGGAATTAGAAGATTGGGGGTTAGATGTCCTTATTACACCGCCAACTGCACTTGCCGGTCGACCGGATGCAGGGGGGATTGTTAGGGAGTGGGTTGAAGAGGAGGATGTACATGGGAATACGATGACTGGTGTTGTGGTTAGTGGACCTGACGGGTTGGTCAGGGATGTTAGGAATACGTGTGCGGAGTTGATTTGGGGCGGGAGGAATGTCGATGTTCAGGTTGAGAAGTTTGGGTGGTGAATATCTTTCATTTCGACAACATCTCTGGAGTTGCATGGTTGTTTTTTTGGTTCTCTGGAGTTTGTGATAGACAGGGTTGGGTGGGAGTTCTGCTTTTGCTTCTGCTGGCATCTTCACATTCGCTGTAGCGTTTTCTTGTAAGAAGGGAAGAAGAGCCCTGGGAGGATAGAACTGGCGATGGGTATGCCATATCCGAGTATTGACTAGGTGGACGCTTGTGACGGTTTTGATGACAAAATGATCATTTGATCATTCACTTGTTTCAAATGATCATTTTGTCATCGGAACCGTCACAAGCGTCCACCTCGAGCAGACTGCGACGGAGCTGCTAGTGATTGACCCTATACCATCGTACGATTCAATCCACGTGGTTGCCCACCCAAGCAACCAAGTGGATTGGGTCGTACGAAGTTATCAGCTTCAACGCAGTCTACTCGTAGTGAATACTCGGGCATGGCATTGAAATTAGAAGACTTAGCTATCTTCTGTGTCAAAGACCCATTAGGCAAAACCATTTTATCTAACTTTATAAAAGTGTTTCCCCACTAAATGCTAATGCCTGTCCCCTGAGTTTGTGATAGACTGGCACGTCAGCCTAGGAAAAAATTAAACCCCCTGGAGCCTACATTAAGATAAAAACATACAAATTAGGCGGTCTAAGATTAACGTAGGCTCCAGGGTGTTCAGTCTTTTTATTGTATGAGGTGCTGGGTGGGTAGGAGTTCTGCTTTGCGCTCGTTATCTGGTCTTGTTACATTCGCTTTGGCGGTCACCGGTGAGAAAGACAGAGAGAGAGAGAGCATTTGGGGGATGACAGTGGCGATGAGTAGCCATGTCCGAGTATCCACTCGGTGTCCGGTTCCATTAGATGCCGACGGTGTGCCTTCACCGCTTGATTTGTCAAGTGAGGGATATAGCACTTCGTCGGATATCCCTCACTTGACAAATCAAGCGGTGAAGGCACACCGTCTGCCTCCAATGGAACCGAACACCCAGTGAACACTCGGACAGAGCATTGGGACCAGAAGACCCAAGCATCTTGAAACCTAAACCCATCAAACAAAACCGTCTCCTCTATCGTTATACAAACGTTTGCCCACTAAACGCCAATGCTTGTCTCCTAAAACGCCCACGCCAATGCGACTAGCCTAGAGTAGCCTTGCATATCCAAGCCCTTCATGCATACACCTCAGTCATCCGCAATGAAACTCGTGACCCGGGGTCAAATCTACCGTCCCCGAGCAATATCCCTAGTCTCCTTCTTCTTCTTCAGATACGCACTAATCTGCTCCACCTGACTGACAAAGAAACAGCGATTCGCGTCGTTCTGCCACACCAGCACACCCAGCGCACCCGCATACCCCAGCACATCCCTGTACTCTGATTCGGAGCCGAATTCGCGCATCAAGTACCCCGTCGTAGTCTCCACACGCTCGCCTTCGTATTCCCAAAGCCGGATCTGGTCCATGACCGTAGGCGGGATGTAGGGAATTGTCTTTTGCATCTGAGGATGCGCATAGGTCGTCAGATAGGAGATGATTTGGCTCGACGTGATGCCTGATTGAACGGCTTTGTGGACGGATTCTTTGGTGAGTTTGCCGGAGACGAGGTTGGGGAAGCGATGTTGGAGTTTGGTGAAGAGGGATAAGATGGCGATTTGGATGAGGCTGTTTGTGTAGGCGTAGAGGCGATAGTTTGTTTCGATGATGATGAAGCCCTTGTTTGCGGATGCCGAGGGGCCGGCGTTGCCTTGGGAGGCTTGGGCGATGTCGTTGGAGGAGGCGGACATGGCGCTGCCGGAATCTGAGGTTAGGGTTGTGGCGAGGCGCGTGGGGTAAAAGGTTCGCGCGTTCTTGTCCGAGCGGTAGACAAGACCCATTGAGGAGAGGTCCTCGAGCATCTGGGATTGGGTGGGCGAGAGCGTGGATGTGGAATAGTCTTGGCCTAGTTCTAGGGAACCAAGCATGAAGAGGAAGGATAACACTTCGGTTTCGGACATGCCGAGCTGGGGGTCAATGTCAGATTCGGTGTTCGTTGGCGTCGGCTGAGCTCGAAGAGGACAGTCGTCGCAGGGTTCGTGGGGTTCAATACTTACTTCGTTGGTCATTTTCAGGTAGACGATGAGCAGACTCCAGACTTGGGCGTTCGTCTCTTGCAGCACGAAAGAGAAGCCGTCTTTGGTAATCCTTGGGCTTCCATGTACGGTCCTCACAAGGTCACCGGTATGTAGCAGCTTCTTCGTTCCAGGACCGACTTCTGCTCTCTCGATGCTGTCTCTGCTAAGTCCAGCCGCGCCGCTCACCAAGTAATAGAGTATACCCTCCCATTGCGATCGCGAGTATTCGTCGAGGAAGTCGATGCTTAAGCGCTTTCCGCCGCTCTCTTCTCTGGTCGCCGGCACACCGAACGAGCGGTGCGTACCGGAGCCCTCGAGGGCGTTTCGCAAGCTGCCTTGAAAGTCTTTGCTGAGTGTCCACGAGAAAGTACCGTCGTCCTGTTTAGCAGGGGCAATGATGTGTAGGCGTTCGAGGGTAAAGAGAGCCTGTTCCTTCTCTTTCCTAGCGGAAGGCTTGAACCAGGCGTCCATGTCGGCGACGGGGAAGGATGAGGGTCTGTAGAGCATCGCAAAGACTATGGATTTGGCTGTGGCTCCGTTAGCGACAGGATCGCGGACGTAATAAATGCACTCACCAAGATGCGGAAGCATGCAGCGGAGCACCGCCAACACGGTGGAAGGCTGCTCATACAGCCGCCGGTGTGTCGCGACAGGCAGACCCTCGAGGTATTCCAGCGCCTGAGATGAAGATGAAGCCGACATCGTGGGGGATGTGGAGAGGAGGATGTCGGTCTACCGCCGTATTATCATGTTCGGAGAGAAAGGGTCCACGAGTTTGGGCGGTAGCGACGCGTGGGTCGCGCAAGTGGAAGTCGCAGGTCGCCAATCGCCAAAGAAAGTTGATGACGCGCCGAGCGAGCGGAAAGCTCACCCCACAAATTCCGCTCCACCCTGGTCTAGCTTCCGAGGTACGTGGGCAGCTGCCGAGCGGAACATCGACATCACTCTTCGCACATCGCGGGGTGAGCATCAACCATGCCGGCGCTGAAGTTTGTGAGATCTGTGGGTTAACCAACCATGTCATTGACCAACCTTATAGATTTTCTAACGTGTTGCTAGGTCTGGGAGTCGTTCCGAGCAAACTCTGGGCTGGAGCCAAGGTACTGCCAACACCTAAGTATGTATACACGAAGCTAATAAAAGCGACACGAAAGACTACTAGACGGTGTAGGTTATGAGAGTTCATAGCTCTGGTATACTGTCATGCTAACACCAATTCTAGCTCCGAGTAACCTCGGCAGTCCCAGGACGCGTCAAGTTTGAGCTTGACATCCAGAAAGAGCATACAGTCCGTGCTATCCCACCTATCGTCTCCTACCATGTTCTCGAAACTCACCTAATGTAGAACCGCCTTAACATCCTCCACGGCGGAACCATAGCCAGCATGGGTAAGTCGCCCCTCCCAAACCCCCCACTCAAACACCAGTATCTCACGACCCCACCCAGTCGACCTCGGCGGCTCCCTCGCAGTAGCATCCCGCGGGCTCTTTGCAACAGGCGTATCCACTGACCTGAACGTAACCTACCTCTCCTCGGGCGGCAAGATTGGCGACTTGATCAAGGCCGAGGTGACGTGTGACAAGTGTGAGTCCATCATATTGGCATGCCTTGCCTTGCTCAAGAGACCTGGTCGCTGAATACATCGCTCTAGTCGGCAAAACACTCGCCTTCACGTCCATCAACTTCAGCAACAACAAAGGAGAGGTTTTCGCACGGGGAAGTCATACCAAGTACGTTGCGTTGGCGTGGAAAGATCCCAACAACATCGTGGAGGAGCTTTCGCCAAAGCCGGAGAAGAAAGAGTAGAAGCATAGATGCGGTGAACATGATGCGTCACGGCGCATATCTTGTGGGAGAATACGATGCCTGGTCATAGCACTATAATACATACGTCTGGTCCTGGGCCTAGTCGATAGGCTTGGGTTTAGCGGTCCGGGGACGAGCTGCTCTTGAAAATCACTTCGAATTGTTGGGAGACCTCATCGTTCGATCTTCCAACAATTCGAAGTAATTTCCAAGAGCGTCTCGATCTCGGATTGCTAAGCCCAAGCCTATCGGATAAGCCGTTAGAGACCGCGGGCAAACAAGGGCCTACTGACTCGTGATCATTTGCGTGTGAAAGCCATAGAAAGCTTCAAATCTCGTGTCGTTGCATCGATTGTACATACGTCATGCTCTCAGCATTCAGCACCTCAGCCAATGACTGTTGCGGTTCTACTCCAGCCGTAATGTCGACTAAGAATTACATTACTACCTCTTTGTGGATATCTAACAATGCATGCTTCCCGTGCAGATCACAAAGTTGATGTCTCGACGTTCTCATGCCATGCACAGTATCTCAAACTCTCGCGCTTTCTTTTTGCCATCGTTCTGTCTCGTAACATCTTTTACTCTTTGCAGGTTTCACATGATTGTAACCTCATCTTCAACTTCCGTAATCTCGTCCAGATCGTAATGTAGCCGTCCACCTTCCACAACCTCATGGTAGGATTATGAACCGTCCGAGGACGTCTCTTGGTTCCGCTCAGTCGAGTCATCGGATTTGTTCCAGCCCTTGCCCTTCATTAGGTTGATCAGGCTAGCCTTGCGTGGGGTCAGCTTCCTTACGGCCCGTCCAAAGGCTCCAGCTCCTGCAGAAGTCGTGTTGTCGTCGTGCTTACGGAATGACATCGGCGGAAGATCTACCGGATTGCCAAGAAGTTTGTGCTCTCTCCTGTATTTGTACTCGAACTCCTGGGCGTAGTCAGTAAAACGGATTCAGAGTCATGACGCAGATAGAACGTACCCAAAGGCTATCTGCTGCTTGATCGGAAGTGCACAGGTCGCGCAGTTGTCCGAGTATGTAGCACGCCGCCAGCTTGTCTTGATTCAATTTGCATTCTCCCAAGAGGCCGGAGGTTTGATGGGCAGGGTCAAGTTCTGCTTTCATTGCATCGGTACGCCATTGATCGTATCGAGACTGGAATCTTCCAGCCCAGTAAAGCGGCGGCATATAGTCTTTAACCTGCAAGATCTCATTGTCAGCAACGTCGGACCTCTCTAGCCCATGTCTACTCCGCGAGCGGCTGGAAGAATAGGCCCAGAGGTTTCCAGCGTTGTTTGGTGCTCTGATCGGGACTCTGGTTGGTACTTGGGGGAACGCCGCCAGATTGAAACTAGATCCGGTGAATTTCATTGATGACACAAGCCCTCGTCCAGGCTGACAAGGTGTATATGTCGGCGTGACACTCAGTCTTTCTTCATCCGTCTCCTCGGGTATCGATTCGCACGAGCTCGCGTCTGATCTGACCCTGACATGTTGAGACGGGACAGTGCTCTTCGGATTCATGCATACTGACTGGACCAAGTCCGACAAAGACGCTGTCCTGTACTGCTCCGGGATGCGAGGCACTGGTGGAGCGACTTCCAGGTGGCTTCCAAAATTATGGAAGGTTTGGGAGCGTGGAAGTCTGCTCACCTCATGTGTAGTCATCGCCAAAGCATGGGATGACCGCCAGACGCCGCCCAAACCATTGGGTGTTCCTAGCGTTTTCCTTTGCTTTTCTCTGTCCGTGGGCAGCCGGGGAAGGGCTGGCCTGACATTATCGCTCGCATCTGGAGCGGGTGTTGGAAGGTCGGTGTTGTGAGGCGGGGCGGCTGCAGAGTTCGATATCAAGGGTGATGCTGCTGGTGTATCTTTTTGTTCCTCCGACTGTATCCGCTTTACTGTCACTGGCGTCTGCTGTGTAAGCTGTGAGCTCATTCTCTTTCTTACTGTGGGTGGAGTCGCGAAGCCTGGCTCTCTGCTCTGTGAATATTGTAGTCCCGGACCAAACGACCTTCTACTGTTCAGTGTACCGGGCACTGCAAGTGATTCCCTCTTCAGCGTTCTCTCTTGTATCTGCGACCGCCTGTGTGATATACGTCTTTCCGTCGGTATGTTCTCTTGCAGAAGCGGCCTTTGAGCTACTGGTGATACCACAGACATCTTAGGTCCTGGCCGCCTGGGAGCCATATATCGCGCCGACTGTGGCCCGTTGGCTGTTTTGACGAGATTTGGTGTCGTACGTGAGCGCAACTGATAGGAATGCTTCACCGGAGAGCCATTGTTTGCGGCTGCCAATGCGTGGGCAGTCGCGATGTGTTTGATCTGTTGAGAAGCGCGGTACGAGACGTGTTGTTGAACGTGTTGACGTGGACTAGAGCGACGGCGCTCTAGGGATGGCGGACTGGGAGTAGGAATCTTCGAAGGTACCGAGTCTGGCTCTGATTGAGGCATTACCGCGAGAGAATGGGACTTGACTGCGCCTTCTACGTCTGCGGCGAACGACTGAGGCTCTACCCTAACCGGGAGCGGGATGAAGCTCAGCGTACGCGATCGAGGCAGTGGCTGCGGTGTGGTATCGGTATCTGCGCTTTTGGGTAAAGTCTTGCTGAACGGGACTGTTGCGGACTCTTCGGTCGCATCGTTGGAGTGGTTGGATGGCGCAGAAACACGCATTGGTGAAAGCGCAGCTTCGGATACAATATTTTTTGTAGTAATGTCGGTTGCAGATGGTTGAGTAACAGCCAATGACGGCACATTCACTTGATGACGTCCCGGGGTCGTCCTTCGCTGCGAGAGGGGATTTGATATGAAAGCGAAGCCATAGCTGAGCTTCCTCCGGAATTTGCTGCTGCTGTTTTCCTGAGGCTCGCCACCCACCGGGAGGTGAGTTGTCGACTTTTCTCTCCAGCCCACCATCGCCTCTGCTCCGTCTTCACTTGGCTGAGCCGTCTCCCACCGCGCGCGAATCTGCTCGAATCTGTGTCGATCTGAATACGTTAGCATGGCTGTAGCGTGGTGTGCAGCGTTTGTTGGGGAGAAGGACTTACCCGCGGAATGTTGTTGTTGTTGTGGATGATGTTGTCCTTGAGGAGGTAAACAAGGAAGGCACGAAGCAGCCACCTCGGATCAAGAACAACGTCATGGAACGAAAAGATGCAGTCGTGACCAAACGACAGGAAGGAGCAACTGCAAACGCCCCCGAACTGCAATCGTGTGGGCTCTTGGCGTAAAGCCGCCAATATGCTTGACACTCTCCACGCGTCCCTAGTCAACAGACATCTGCATCTGAGTTTGCATCCACTGTTTCGGCCAACCTGAAGTCATCCTGCACCTGACTCATACCACGACATGAACAAGATATAAGACGACATTGAGACAACAAGACAATGGGTATTCAAACATTGAAAAGCACAAACCTAAGACACCATGCTATGCTATGCAACCATTCCCTTTAGATAACACCGAGGATGTTGTCATCTGTATTCCTTACTCCGAGTCACTGTCAACGATAAAGCCAGCCCTCATATTGCGCGCCGCCGCTGGTCTACGCGCTACCGGTGCATCGTCGTCATCATCGTCATCTGAATCTGCGTCTGGCATTGCAGCATCGCTGCTCTTCATCGCAGCATCACTCACTGGCTTCCGGGGCGTGTCCGCCTCACTAAGTGCTGCTGTTACACCAGCGTTCTGCGATGAAAGCGGCGTATCCGTAGTTTCATCCTCATCCTCATCTTCCTCCTCATTACCGTCAACCACGGAAGGAGCCTGACTGCTCTCTGCATCTTCCATATCGTCGTCACTATCGGCGAATGGCGCTTTCCGTTTCGGTGGACTCTTTCTCCTCTTACTCTTCTTGGCCGGTGCATCAGCTTTCCGCTTTTTGGATGCGACTGGCTCCACGGTTCCAAGTACAAGCGACTTCTTGAAGACTTTCATGTTTTCCTCGCGGATCGCCTGTTCTCGCGCGAAGAAGGCGGCATCCTTCTCGGCGTCCCAGTCCTCGTCATCTGAGTCGTGCACATACATGGTACTCAGTGCTTTGGCTTGCTTCTCGATCTCCTTCTTGCGACGTGCTTCGGCTCTGCGGTCCTTCTCTTCGTCGTCAAGCTCCACAGCACTATTCCTTCGGCGTCGTCGCTTCAGTGTCTTGCGAGGAGCGTCTGCATCTCTCTCAGTGGGACCACCCTTGGCGTACTCTCCGTGATCCTCTTCCTCGTCGCGGTCTATGCCGTCAGAGTCATCGTCAAACTCGGCCCGGCGAGTGGAGCGTCGAGCTGCTGCAGCCTTGCTACGAAGCAAATCTTCTGGCGCTTTGCCGTCCTCATATGTTGGCGGATCGAACTCATACTTGCGAATGAGATCGATGGCTTCTTGCAATTGCGTTGAAGTAAGTGATGCAGGTATGATCCACGAAGCGTCCGGATCGTGGTGTTCTCCTAACCTCTCGAAGCCGACCAGGTTCATGAGCAGTCGTAATTTGTTGTCTTTGAACATAGCGACGCGACGTTCTTCGGTATCGTGCTTGATGACTAGGCTCGGTTAGCAGACTTCCTCACAGTGAGAGGGATACTTACAGATCGATGGCGGCTTCGAAGTTTCAGTGTCTGGATTCTCAGGTGCCTCGCCTTCTGGACGCTCCTCTACGTCGGCCACCAACGCCTTTTGTGCTTCAGCGGCCTCTTCCCACGCCTTGCGCTCTTCAGCTGCCGATGTAAGCACATCGCGTACCCAGCGGAGAGCATCCGACTTTGACTGATTAACAAGAACACCAACAGCAACACCAATCTGATCAGGTAGCTCCATTCCAGGTTTGACCTCAAGCTCCGCCGGAGCTCGTGGCGCTCGAGTGTGTATCTCGCGATCATATCCGTGCTCAAGGAAGAAGATGGTTGCAGGGATCTTGTCGAACAGCATCTCGACTACCAGCTCTGGCCTCTCTTGTACTCTCTTTACAACCTGCCTGAAGAAGTGTTTGACAAAATCATCCCACTCTCTGTAA